AAAAGGCCACGGTCACCAAGTATCCTTTCCTTGTTAGTCAATGCGCAGCACGCTAATTGGCCTTGTATCACTAAAAATCTTGGCTGCTTGGGCTTTTCGATTTTATGAAAAAAAGATATCCCGCCTTGTATCGCAAAATTAGGGTATAAATGTTTCCGGGTTCTTTCTATCTGGAAGCAAAGTAGACTGTGTGTTGACATTCAAACCAACCTGGTGGTTATCCTTCAGTTGTTTCGTTATTTTCTGCCAACCTACAGCGTCGTAGTTTTGGCGATAAAAACCATTTCTACCAGCATTTATAACAATGAAATGTTCTGGCTTGTTTAATTGAAGATAAAGCGGCTCCTCTGAAATGCTAAAGCTTAATGCCTTTTCACTGACATAACGTTCATGCTGTACTTTAATCGGAATTTTGCTTTATAAAGTGTAGCGAATTGGAAATTGAATCAGTTGCTTGACGTGAAGTGCTTCTTTGAATGTTTGCTTGCTCCAAAAATTATGACTTGCAAGAGCGAAAAAAGATGTTCGCATTGACCATAACTGTGCTTTCATGGTAAGATGTCCCACCTCTTTTTAGCCAACTTAACTGCACAGATGAATCGCCTTCTTGATACCATATAGGAACATCCCATTTGAATCTGAATTGCGTAAACATATTTGGATTACGAACAATGGGTTTGCCCACCCATATTTTGGATTCGCATATTTCTCTGGATCTTTAGCATTTTGATTCTTTCGATAACGTTCTTGTGTCAACTTGACATGCGTTTCGTTAAACGACTCCACGGTTACAAGAGGAAATCCCATCTTAAATAATGATATTGCTGATATCTGCAATTAAAAAAACAAAACTTTATCTCACTTGTGCTGTCCACTGATCGGCAAAATCTCCAACTTTCATGTCATCAGGGGAACCATGGATGCTGCCAACCACTTCATTTAGAGCTGCCCACAAATCTGCAGCTTCAGCGTTATTGTACGCATGCTTTCTGATGTAATGCTGAAATACAACATGATAAAAATAGTTAAGCAACCCTGTTTGTATGTAAATTTTTGTGTCTATGTAAATCTCTCTTTGCAAGCATGGCATAATTGAATTTCGATATTTTATAGATTACCTAAGACATGATACAATTTACTTGCTTTTTTACACGAAAGCAACTGCGTTATAGATTATACTGTTGAGGAATCGTTCAAACTTTGCGCGATTGCGGTCGCCGCGCGATTTCGGATTGCTGCGATTGTGCGCTTTTACCTAGGCGTATTTTTGCTTGGACAGGCAGGATAGACCCCTGTCGGATCTTGGTGGAGGTAGGAAGTAGACCCTGCATGTACACTGTATCCTAAACCCCACCTGCCAATTCATGCACTAAGTCCTGGAA